AGACTGAACTGGTTACTTGTATATAGATTCAGTGTCTCAGTGAAGACTATGACAGTGTAAGGTTGTATAGGACTTTTTTTTTTCCATTGCCACTTCACTTTAAGTGTTGCTATAGCCTTCATTTCATTTTGTAACCTCCATCTTGAGAGAACACATACTGTTAAAAACAGTCCATTATGGAAACTCTGAGCATTTATGGACATGCTTCGGGGTGGGGGAAGCACTTTAATTAGAACGCCTGCAGTGGCTTGTGTAATCAGTGTCCTGAAGTCCAAAATGGTGGTTTGGGCACTTGAACTAAAGCTCATTTGACAAGTTTTATTTCAAGCACCCCTGCCACGATTTTGAAGTACAGGGATGCTGAATATAAGTTGCATGGAGACTCCTGGAGTACATTAATTAACACGTTCCAGCAGACTTACATTAATCAAGTCTGCCCACACCCAACATGTGTATATGTGACCTCTATGCTTAGGCAACAAATGCAGGATATCTTAGAGAGCAGTGTCATTAATTTGAATTAATCTGAACTCTAGCCCTATTTCTCAGCTCTAAATAGTAGGGCTGTGAAATAGTAGGGCTGTGCGAAGCTTCAGTCCCGGATTTGATTCGGTGCAGATTTGGCCTGATTCGGTGGCTGAATCTCCAAATCTGAATTGAATCAGAGGGCCATTTAATCGCTCTGAATCAAATAGAATCCTCTGAATCAATCTGGAGAGATTCAGAAAGATCTGGTGATTCGAACATAAACACGCTTTAAATGTTTTTTCTACATACCTCTAGGTAGCAGGTGGCTCATGAATTCTGAGATGATGGGGTGCATGGAGTGTCCCACAGAAGCATGGGAGGCTCCCCAGTGTGCTTGGCAGCAGACCTGGAAGTGAACCAGAAGCATTTCTGGTCCACTTTCAGGTCCACTGGGAAGCACACTAGGGAGGCCCCCTGCTCAGTGACTGGTGTCTCCTTGGTCTGGGGAGGCACCTGGGGTCCCCTCACAGCTGTTCCCCTGTACATTCTCCAGTAGACCCGGAAGTGGACTGGAAGTATTTCCGGGCCACTTCCAGGTTCACTGCTGAGCATATGGAGTCCCGCCGCCACCCCCTGCACTCCTGTGGGACATTCCACCCACCCAAGCATCACAGCATTCACAAGCCATGCTGGTACCTTGAAGTATGTAGAAAAAACATTTAAAGCTGTGTATGTGGCCAAATCACTGATTCTCCAAATCAGAATCGAATCTTCAGATTCGGCTGAACTGAATCAGGGACAGTGATCTGAATCAACAAATTGAATCACTGTCCCTGATTCAAACCGAATCTAAATCCAAATCAAATAGAGCCTGCTTCACACACCCCTACTAACTAGGTCCCTTGTATGTGATATCTTTCCCTTTACATTGGTTTTAAAAATTAAGATAACCTTTTAGGTTCTTTAATTCATATGTCACCACAAAACAGCCTACAAACCTATTTTCCAAAGCTGAATATTCACCACCAAGAAATATTTTCCTCTACATCACATTTTTGTTTTACTTTTGCCTTCAGGATTTCTAAACAGTTGACAGCTCAGAATAGATGTTTTTTTCATTGTAAGACAGCTCTTACAATTAAAAAAACAAAAGGAAGACTATAGGAGGTAAACCATGCTTTGTTGGGTTCTGTACACCTCCCTGGAAAGCTTATAAGCAGTGCCAATTTGTCAATGCATAGGTTGCTTGGAAATAGTTACACCCATTTTTCTCTCTCTTTGTTTTTTTGAGTTTTTTGGGGGGGGGTTTGGTTTGTTTGTTTGAATTGACAATTTATTGTAGAGATATGGGCAGTTTCATTTAAAAAATATTATGAACTATGATACCATGGCTAAATAGAGACAGCCAAAAAACCCAAGGCAGAACTGAATTAACCTTTACAGGGTTCTCTAAGCTGAGAAGATTTTGTCGTAAGCAAACATAACACACATTCACCCTTGTGTGGAGGGAAGCAGGCAAATGCCTGCACTAACCAGGCCATAAGGCGGGAGTGGGGGGTGGTCCTACACACCTTCCAGCCTAGCAACAAAGCTCAGCTGAGTAGGGACATCCCTGATTGTCACGTCCCCAGCCCCCTACTGTCACCACAGACTCTCCCCTGCACAAAGCCATTAGGCTTCCACAGCTCATAGCCATGGTAGGCCCAGTTGGGGATGGGGGTTCTGTTCCCCCCTCAGTAGCCCCTATGGCAGACAGTGGACAGAGGCTAGCCAACTTGCCCTGCAAGGGGATTGGCAGGGAATACACATAATATCCTGGGATGCTGGGAGACTGAGAGTTAACTTTAGTCAGAAGGGGATCTTAGACAGAAGTTCAATAGACCAATTTAACCTAAACCAGTTAAGTCTGATACTACATCCTTCCAGGTCTATCTTAAACCAGTTTCAACCATTTTGAAACCAGTTTATGTATACTGAACTTCTGTTCTGTTACAGACTTAAACTGTTTTCTGATTGCTAAAACTGGTTTGTGTGTAATTTCTGTTCCTAGCCTATAGGAACAGCAATAGACTGAGCTACAGACTTTTAACCAGAAGTAAGACAGGAAAAGCTTGAGTAACAGATTAAAATGGAGATGACATTCTAGGAAATTATGAGGTGAGGTTTTTTTATAGTATCTTTTATTGAACCTGCTATACAATTATAAAAGATGATAGAGAAGCTTTTGAAAACCAAGTACCCTTTTTCAGGTCTGGACAGCCATGATTGGAGGAAGGTCTCTATATGGCTAGGTATAGACATTACGCTTTTACTGATATAAGTGATCAGAAACCAGTCTAAACCTAGAATAGAAGTTTGGCACACAAAACTGGTCTATACCCAAAAACAGAATAGAAGTTCAGCTTACATATACTGATTTAAAAATAGGCAGAACAAAGTCTAATATTTCCCCTATACCAAAGGATAAGTGTGTATTCTGCTCATTTGTGTCTGAAAGCTTGCCCAACATGACTCTGGACTGTATGGTTGATACAATAAAAGATATCACAACCCCCACCCACCCCCCAAAAAAATCAAAAGATACTCCCAAAGAAAACATGCAAACAAACTAACCCCTTGCTTTTGTTTATTTTACAAATTCTCTACTAATAGCCAGAGCTTCAGTGGGGAAGTTGTACCAGAAGACCCTATACTTAGAACTCCTTTATTTTGGCTAAATTAAACTCTTGCATTTCACAATTTGGCTATCTTTCCAGGGCCCAGTTTTTGAAAGGCCATTTCCTGCATAGTAGACCATTTACTACCATACTTTTCTAGTGAACAGAAAACTAGTACATTTCAATACCTGTCTTTCTTCTGGACACTGGAAGTTATCTCCAAAACTTTATAGTTTTTATATGTTTCTTGTCCTTGGGGATGCAAGACTGATCAGAGTTTGACTTTGATTTACTGCAGATGATGCAAACTTATGTCAGGTCCTAGAGTTTGTCCATCCAGATGAGGAGGTGTGACTAAAAAACCCTGTGACTAAAGGACCTCTTAGTCCATAAATTATTTACATAGTACTAGTCCCTGCATTATCTAGGCATCTCCCAAACCTGCATTCACAAGTATGTAGTACTGTTTTAAAAGAAATATAAAAGCATACTAATTATAGGCAAAGTTGAAGATGAGGTATGTAATTTTCACAGATAAGATAATAGTAGACTACTAAAGAAACTTAAGTACCATATCCAATTGACCTATATTTATATACATATATAAATGCATGTAAAAACATATATATTAATAAAAAGTGCATATATATGAGTGCATATATAAACATATTTAAAATATGTGCTGCTTTCTATTTATTTGTCTTTTATGGGGTTTCTTCTGCCCTTAATATTTATGGATTATATTATTTCCACTAAAGGCTCACATTTATAATGAGAAGACATACAATTTATGGTATGTTGTATGTCACAAATTACCATTTTTAATTTGATAAACACTGACAGTTTTGTAATGAATGTTATAAGTTCTATTGTCTTTAACAACACATTTATCTTTTTATATTTATATTTTCCTCAGATAAGGTATGAAGTTATAAATAAAATTCAAAATTGTGTTTTATTTTTCTTGCTTTTCTTAAGAAAATGACCAATCTACACTACATTCTAGGATGAGATAAACTTTCATTAAAAAAGAACTGTGAAGAATCAGTACTCCACATATGATTTTGACCATCTGACCATTGTCACAGAGGATACCAGTCAGCTGAAGACAAGTGCTTTTCTTCTGATCGAATACCTTTCTAATTAAAAACAACATTTGTTTTGTCTCTGCTATAATAGCTATAAGAATGACCCACCACAAAAAGTATTCTCACCTTGCTTGGCAGCTTGCTAAGTTAAGTATTTTCTTATATGCATCCATCTTTTTTTTAGTAATATATTTGTGCCTCAATTCTAATAATTGTAATTTTTTTGCCATTTTACCCAAAATCAAAAATCAAGGAAACACTGTTTTGAACTTGATGGAAGGATCTGCAGTAACTGCCAAACAGTTTCATAAATCTGACAAAGGAAATGAAATCATTTTTCACAAAAGCAAAGTTTCCAGCTTTCAGATGTTCATAAGTAACAGAAACAAAGAGGAACGAAGTGGAACTGTGACACAATTTGCTAATGAAGAGACAATAGATTCTGCCTCATATTCATCCATTTACCCTCATCCATTCCAATTTCTTATTAATGAAAAAGATAAATGTAAGCAGAAAACTCCTTTTTTGGTACTATTAATTGCAACCAAAGCTGATGAAAAACAGTGCAGAGAAGCCATCAGGAAAACTTGGGGAAATGAATCTGTGGTTCCTGGAATTAAAATTGTTCGCCTATTTATGTTGGGTTTTAGTGACAAAGACCAGAATGAAAATATATTGCAGGAAAGTAGGAAATACCATGACATTATTCAGCAAGACTTTTTAGACACCTATAATAACTTAACTCTTAAAACTATGATGGGCATTAAGTGGATTGCCACATATTGTAATGGCACAAGTTTTATCATGAAAACAGATAGCGATGTTTTTGTGAATACAATATATTTAATACAGGAGGTACTAAGGCCCATTAAATCTCCTTCACAGTATTTTTTTACTGGTTGTCTTATGAAAAATCATGAGCCTATTCGTAATCCTAACAGCAAATGGTACATGCCAGAAGAACTTTACCCAGGTGATCGATACCCAGATTTTTGTTCAGGAACTGGCTATGTCTTTTCTAGAGCTGTGGTTCCAAAAATTGTCAGTGCTTCTTTAAAGGTCAAATATGTACATTTGGAAGATATTTATGTAGCTCTCTGTCTTGAAAGACAAGGAATCACTATTTCACCCCCACTCAAACCATCATTTTTTAATATATATAAAGTCCCATTTTTTACTTGTCTATATAGCAACATAATTACTTCCCATGGAATTGATCCAACAGAACAGATCATTTTCTGGCAAACACTGCAAAAAGAGAAACATATGTGTCATAAATAAAACACATGTACAGTAGAGTTTGCATGGGAATACAATATGAAATTATACTTTATTTAAACTTTAAGATTACTGAATGTGCATCATGAATCTCTAATGGGGATCTAGACAGCTAAACTTAATGGATGTCCATACATGTGCTCTGATGTGTTGTAGTTAGAATGTGTTGGAACAGACTCAATTAATCAAGACTGCTCTGCATTTGAATGTGTATAAACCCCTGTGGGTTTAAACATGGGTACTTGTGTGCCTTAACTAATGCTTGTTAAACATTTGTTAGTTAAAGCTTTAGTTAAAGCATTCTGTGATATTTTTAAATGCACGAGGGCTTAATACATGTGACTCTGAGGGATTTTAATTGGAGTGGCTCTCCAGTAACCCCTAAACAGGTGTATAGGCAGCCAATGATATCAGTGATTTTTGTACTCTATTTATATGCAGAAAAAGCTTTTTAGTCTAAAAATATGTTTTTTCCCACAGAAGAATTTCATTATAAGCACGGTTCTGGAATAACGGTCATTACAATGTATTTGTTGAAATGATTTAGAACTTTCTTCCTACTTCAGATAGCATCTCGAATAAAGAAATTGAATAATTTTATTTTCCTTTATCTTCTAAAATCACTGTATTTTGCCCCTCACAGGTAGAAACCTGTCTTAGTTATGCTTACTCACAAACTGCTCATTCTTGACTATACCTGCTTTTTAAATAAAAAATTAAAAAGCAATGGCCACGATGCACTTTTGAAGAAAAAAAAAGATTACCTCCTACTTCTTAGTTGTTGATGAAGATGAAATAATGAACTCTAATCCCCACTTGTAGTTCTCTGATCTGGTTTCTCAACTTGGTGTGGTGGTGGATGGTTCAGACAAAACCATAGCCCAATGATAATTGGTTTTTAATTGTATTTTAACCTGAGGCAACATGTTTTGTTTTGTTCTGTTAATGTGTTCCACCCTCCTGTATCACAAAAAATGAGGTTTTAAATTAGTTTTTACACCGAAGGTTGCTTCTCATGGGTTAGATGGTGAGGTTGAAATTGCCTCTGTAGTCAAGTTAAGAAGCCTGCTAATCCTTCTAACTTCTAATCATCCTATAGCTGACACAGTGCACCACATGGATTTCCTCTGGAAATGAATGGATGCCAGAGCTGGCCTTAGGGAAAATACCACCTTGGGAAAACTTGTATTCTGGTGTTTCCCATCCCCGCCCCCATCCCACAAGTCGGTGGCACTGCTGCAAGAAGAGGTGATCAAGCAAGCACGCAGGATGCAGTCCAGTATGGAGATGGAGTGACATGGTGCACAAGGCAAGCAGGCAGGGTGGCACCGCTGCTACCATCTGCACTGCTTGGCCCAGCTCCTCCTGATCAGTGACTGAAGGTGGGAAATGAGCTGGGCTGGGCACCACATCTCCTGCCTGGGGTGGGGATCAGCCAGGGCAGAGCAGGGGTGGGCAGGGTAGGAGAAGAGCACTGCTGTAAATGTGTGTGTGTGGCACCCTCCTGACCATGGTGCCCTGGGTTGTCACCTCCATTGGCCACCCTTTAGGCTGACTCTGATTGAGTGTGTATACTGAAGCAAATTGGCCTCTACTTCATTTGTTGCAGAAATCAAGAAGTGAATGAAGGAATTAGATTATAGAAAGAGAAAGGATGGCCATTGAAGGCAGCTGAATTAATGTCCTAGAGTAGTGAATTCTATATGAAAATCTGTTCTTCAAAATAACACAATCTATCCTACATAAGAAATGTGACTGGTATCTTGTGAGAAAATTTTGTGTTAGCAAAGACTGAATCTTAATGTTATACAGGCAACAGGGTTCTGAATCATAAGGCTATACAAGTTATACAGGGGGCTGAATTAAAGTTATACAGACAACATTACTTCTGGCATTTCCTAATAGTGTTCAACTTTGCAACCTTGAGAGTATTCTTTTAATACATTTGGGGCAGGAGGAAGATTGGGGGAGTTTGGGGGGTTGGGAGGGTCATTTGGTTTTTGTTGTATGCAATATTTAATAATATGGAGGTATGATGTTTCTTAACATGCCATACAGCAACACTGTAAAAGTTAAGGGATAATGAGAGAACATTTTGCAGGAGGGCCACAAGTGTTTGGAAATAGTGACCCTTTAAATAACATGAAAGTTGTGACTTCCTTAGTACTCTGCAACAGCCGTCTGTTTGATGGGGTTTTCAGGGAGGGCTGAGGTAGGGTTTTCTATGATGATAATGGGATGGAAGATGGTTCCATATTGGGGTTTGAATGAGTTCCTGTTAAACAAATTGTTACAAGAATGCTACAGCAATTTTATTATATTATTAAATGTGTTTGGTTAAATAGGATAGGTATCTCTTTACTTACTTTAAATCTATATAAACACACTATTGTCCTGGGGGGGCCAGGCCAACTCTCAGGATCTCAAAATTGCACTGTTAGATGTGAGGGTCTGACACAATTGCATATACATACACACAAAAATCAATTAGGTGCATACAGACACACTACCAACTCAGGCACATACACATCTGAGATTACCAGTCTAAGCACATGCACACCTATCACTGATTCAAGCCACATACACACTATACAAACCAAAAATTGACAAAACTCAGTTGTTAATACCTGCATACCAAACACACATACACAAACACACACTTTCATGGCTGTATGTTAACCCTAGGGGGTGTTTGGGGTAACTTGATGCTTAAGGTTACTTAAGGTCAAGTAGCCCCAGGGTTACTTGAGGTCAATGGAGCTTGGGGTTACTTAAGTTTAATGGGCCCCGGGGTTACTCAGGGTAACCTGGTGTTCAGGTGGAAGCAAGGGAAAAAGCCCGGTGGCAAGGAGGAGACATCCAGGAAACAGAGAGGCAGAAAGCTGGGAAATAGGGGCTGGAAACTAAGAGGCAGAATGCTGGAAGATGAATGCTGGAAACAAGAGACAGAAAGCTAGGAGATCAGGGGGCAGACAAGTGGTGGCAAGGAGGAAACAGCCAGGAAACAGAGAGGCAGAAACCTGGGAGATAGCCAGGAAATCAAGGAGGAGAGTCGGGAGGTCAATAAGACAAAAACCCAACTCAGGGTTTCAAAATACCAGGTTTATTAAACAGACAACACACTACACAGCCCCATGAAGTTATTGGTTCCTACACACACACATATACAAGCACTTACATACACACCCACATAATGATCGCAGGAGAGAAAAAAGTCTTGGTGGAGGGATTGAAGTCAAGGTGTGCAGACAGTGGAGAGAGTCCAGATCCTTTGCTTGGGGAAGGAAGGTGGGTGATAGCTACCTATCCTGAGCTGTGAGTTGATCCTCGATGGCCAGTTGGGGTCTTCTCCAGCAAAGTGTTGTCCAGAGGGGGTCACTGGAAGGGCCTCTGGGTGGATAGGTGATGTGGTGTGGTGCTGGTCCAGATGGAGAGGGCATCCCAAGGAGGTCACAACCTACCAGCTCTTTTATAGGGGTGGACTACCTGTGTCTTCTATGGGAGGGATATATCCAGGCAAGGACAGTGCTGCTCAGATGCATATATGCAGATCCAAGTGTCCTCATTGTCTTGTAGGACACAATGGTGGGGTTGCTGGTTTCTGTAGGGTTTTTGTCTTTCAAATGCTGGGTTTCTGTTCTGTTCCTGGGTGAGGTCCATGGTTCCTGGGTGAGTCAATGCAAGGTAATGGTCCAGTTGTTGAGTTGATTATCCAGTAGAGGCCTGCTACCATTGTATCTCAAACACCCTCATTCATCCCCATTCATTCAGAAACCAGTTTACATGAGACTGGTTAGACATGAGTCACAGTTACAACATAGGTTACATCCAGGCAGAGGACACAAGATGGAGGCTTGACATGCAAAATGGAAACTTGACATTACTTGACATTACTTTACAGACACAGGCCTAAACCCTACAATATTAATATGAAACAATAAAAATAAATGCAAAAATGATAGGAATACAATATAATACAATATAAAACAGTAAAAATCAATGCATACATAACAGAACACTATTTACAATATAAAAACCAGCTTATTACAATAATAGCATACAAGAAATTAGCTTAGCTTACCTACTACTACTTGTTATCACTTACAAGGGATAGAGAGGACAGAGAAAAGTCAGAAGGGGAAGTGCTTCTGGTCCACTTCCACATCTGCTGCCAAGCACACTGGGGATCCCTCCGCACTTCTGTGGGACACTCCATGCACCCCAGCATCACAGCATTCATGAGCTGCCTGCTACCTAGAGGTATGTAGGAAAAACATTTAAAGCTAGGTCTATGTATGAATCACCAAATCTTTCCAAATGTCTCCAAATTGATTCAGAGGGTAAGGGGAGGGAATGTATTTTAAAATAAAATACAGCATTCACAAACCACGCTGTTACCTTGAAGTATGTAGAAAAAATATTTAAAGCTGTGTCTGTGGCCGAATTGCTGATTCTCCAAATCCGCATTGAATCTTTAGATTCAGATTAAGCCAAATTGAATCAGGGGCAGTGATCCAAATCAACAAATTGAAAAAAAAGAAAAACTGGGGCTTTTGCTACAACACAAACTAACATACAAGTGAATAAAATAAAAAATAAGGCATCTACCTACTCACTCCCAAACATTAGTTAAAACCATTTTTTAAATGTGATGAGGACTGTAAATCTCCATGTGTCCTGGTATATTTAGGAGTAAAGTAAACACTTGCCTAAAGATGTGCAATTTACACTGTACCTGGACAAACCACAACCCTGGGCTTCCATAGTTTTGCAGACAAAAGTGGAGCTCCCAGCTGTAACTAAGACCACTTTGCCGGAACAACCAGAAATTCACTGTTGGTTCCAGGGAGGAAGAGAATCAAGCTGCTGGCTGTGAGCCTGCAGCCAGTTTCCCCTAGCAATGACCCCTCTTCCCTGTGAGGCTGCAAAGTTTTCAGAATGGGAGAGGGGAAAGGAAGCTCATTCCAGGGCATAGGTGACTGGTGCCTCCTGAGACTGGGGGGCACGGTTTGTGGGAGGCAGCGTTGGTGGTAGGGTGGTGAGCGGCAACTGCCTGCAGAAGCTGGCGGTGGTGTCAGCGGCAGTGGGGGTTAGGTGATGAGTGGCAATTGCCCGCAGAAGTCTCCCACAGCAGCAGCCAATCTCAGGGGGGACACGTGCCTCCCCTGTGCTCCCTCCCCCACCAG